CTTTGATGTGGAGCCTCTATTGTAACTATAAATAATCATAAATAGATCAATAAATCCACCTCTGAACCCTTAAGATGCAGAGCTGTCATATGAATTTGCTTTCACACCATAGAGAGTGTAGAAGAAACAATAGTAATCCCAACATGACAAGTGACCGATAAAATCACAAAAGAAAAACATAAATTTTTCTGTCTGAAAACAAAGGCCTAAGAGAGGCTTCCCGTCTGTGTTTAAACCGGTGTGTGCAGCTTCAGGCCAGCAAATGGGTAGAATAAGCATACACATGTACAGTAACAGGAATATTTCACACAGATTTTCACTGACAACCTCCCAGATGTGATCAGTTCCTTAAATAATGTGATTTTTACACTCTTTTCCTCCTTGAAAGGTGGATTTAAATGGTAGTAGACAGCTGGGAAATCTGTTTTTAGTGATTTCTTTCCTTCTGTTAGCCACATCAGGACAGATGTACTTCTATGGAAATAGATATGTTTGTCACCCTTAGCTCTGATATGTTTGAATTTCTTTCCTTTATTAGGGCCCCCCTGTCTGCGGCAGGCCCACCTATTACTATTGTGCATATTTATTCCGCGACTTATAGTTCTCCCATTTATGCCCGAATTTCAGCACGGAACTAGTCCCCCCCGGTTTGACGGATTAGGCCCAAAAAAGACACACACATCTGCACCGACCACAGGACGCATGCTTGTATTTCTCTTTTTCATTAGACTGGGCATTTTTGAATAAACGGCGAAAAAAAGCAAAACGCCATTTTATAGGAAATGAATGGGAAGGCCAAAAAATGGGCCCAAAACACGACCAGTTTCCAGGCCTAATTGCTTGGCCCTACGACATCCAAGAAAGATCACTCGTACATTGACCTGGGGATCGGTATATAAACTAGAACATTTCTAAAGAAATTTTGAGGGGGGCCACCCACTGCCCGTCCAGGAACCTGGGGCTGGCTTCCTGGGGCCCTCAAAAGAGGCCTGGCAGGTCAGCCAATTGATATTTGGGCTGATGTTAGCTATGGCTTGCGCCTATGAGAGGGCCTGAGGGAGAGACGCAGTGATGGAGGGACCTGGGTGAGCTTTGGGGCCCGCTGACCGAATACATTTGGTTTGAGCAAGTCGGGGTCACATTGCCTGAAAGTGTCATGTGGGTGGGTTCTTGGAGGGAGGACTCAGGTGCGGAGATGAGGGGAAACAAGGTTTATTTTAACAAAACTGTGAAAGTCCAGACATGAGTACAAATCAGAGCTGTGGGCAAAGTATCAAAGCAAAACTATGACAAAGTAACAAAATAAAGATTAACCAAAACTGTGACAAGACTGTGGCAAAAACAAACCTGGCGTGGGGGAGACGACGGACGTGACGGACAAGAGACGCAAACGCACTCGCACAAGACAAGGGGAAACAGGACTATTTAAACACATGAGGAGGGGAACCCCAGGTGTACACAATGGGTAATCATGACATCACGAGGCACCAGACGTGACAGAAAGCTGAGAATAAGACCTACGTAACAAGGTATGACATGGGTGGGTCTGGCCCCAGTCCAGTCCTGACCCGGTTGGGTCCGATCCACAGAACCAGAACCGGGCTCTGACTGAAGCCCTCTATGCGGGCTTCGCCCGCCTGGTACCAGAACCAATGTATTACTTAAATCTTTCTAAGCGGGCTTCGCCCACCTGGTACCAGAACCAATGTATCCATCAACTCCACAGCTCAGCAGAGCTCTGCTGATCGCTATGGCAACTGCAGCCTGGCCACAGCTTTCCAAACAAAGGTGTGACTCATCACTAAGCCACAGCCATGACACAGCCAACTGACAGTTTCGATCAAAAGTTGACCCCGAACTCCTGCCCGCTGTTCGAAAACTATATGACACAGCTTAATAATTCTTGGGCCGTGAG